TTGGGTTCTCCTTCTTATTTAGCTTCTCTAAGAACCCGAATTATAGGCTCAATGTCCTTTATTTATGGCTAGAACTACTCAGCAGTAAAAAACAAGGACTTCTTGAAGTTTGCAGGCAAATGGATGGAAATAGAAAACACTATCCTGAGTGAGGTAAGCCAGACCCAAAAAGAGGAACATGGGATGTACTCACTCATATTTGGTTTCTTTCTGTAACTTTGATCAAGCTTGGTTAGAAGAATCATAAATTTTATACTGTTGTGGACTATATCAAATGATCTGGACCCAAGGAAAAAGAAAAGATAAAAAGAACATTGGTCAATAATCAGAGCAATTATCATTTAATAAATGAAGATATTCTCCTGCTTTGTGGTGAGAACTTTTCAATAGGAAGATAACATATTGAAAATATTATTTAGAAATATCTATTTTCAGAATATATATCAACTTTGAATTGACAAGTTTACTCACTGTATCTAACAAGTTATAACTCAACTTTTTTAACCTTCAGATTAGCAACTTCAAAACTATAATATCAACTATTATTTACTATTATGGCACACTGAAATTGCTCAGAAGAACATGCTGCTTTAACCTTGACCATTATACATTTATCTAGCTATCTAGATGTGGCGAAATGTGAGGGTATATTAAGAAAAATGTTCACATTCATACAGTTAGTGTATTTCACGGTCAAATTTAAAGAAGCATGGCAGAGCCTTCTGTCTGTTGTCTAGACTGTGGCAAGCAGGAAGGATGTCATAATACTTGCTCTTTATTTAGTCAGAGTTTCATCATTTGAACTTTAGAGACAAATAAGAGAAACACAACATATGTGTGTTTATTAGATTTCACATCCAAAGAACACCAGGGTCAGTCATAATGGTAGAAATCAACAGAATTTTCTAGCCCATGAAAACAGAATACTAAAGTTTACACAGAAACATTTATCAAAGGCAGACTTGTTTTCCTCTCCAAAGGGGATTTGTAAATGTTAGTTGAAGTAATATTTTATTATTATTTGAAACTGATGAAAAGTTTTACTAAACACATGTACAGTATTTTGCATTTGTAGATGACACTGACATCTACCAAGTTTTCTCTTGAGAACCCTACAATTGATTTACAAACAAACACATGCATGTGTACACACACACACATTGAAGAAATATCTAGTTTGGAACTATTTACCCACAAACTATAAAGACTTGAGTGCAAATCATTTGGGTCACATTTAACTAGAATGAAGGTTGAGGAATATAGTCTGGCTGTGCTGGATTGTAAATATGAATGCATTATTTAACTGCAGACCAGGCTCAGAGAGACATCTCTACTTTTACCTTGCAAATCTTAAAATGCAGATATGCAGGGATTTACTCAACTTGTTGATGTTCATACCATGGAAATAATGAGAGTCACAAAACCCCAATCTCATTCTTTTGGTTTTTTTTTAATTACTACTTGCCTCTTAGTAATTATATATTAAAATTATGGAGAATTAATTATTTTTATAGTTTTGTAAATTTATCCAATTTTTGGTAGGCTATTATAAAAGGTCACTTGCAAAGATCCAAATATGTGATTAATCAGCATGTAATTACTTAGCTTCCGAATTTATAAGAAGTAGACTGTGGGTCTCCACTTGTGCTGAGAGGGAAAGTGAAATATAGCCTTTCTCTAATCTTACATTAATGAAAATTAATTAATGAATGAATACTTAAATTGCAAAAAAAAAAACACTTGGAGGCATGTGTAGATTTTCTAGTGCACCAATTTAATTAGAAATATGTAATTTCATTATCAAGTATTTTAACTGCGTTTTAGCTTCATGCCATTGGATCATAGTACTTCAAAAGAAAAAAAAATAAATGATGTGGTATTTACAATGAAATGTATTCATTACACTGTTCATTGACCTTTACAGAGGATCTATTTCAGAGAGACCTTTGTGACCATGGAACTGAGAAATCTCACCGACTTAAGCTTGCCAAGTGGAAGCATGCTGTTTCTAGTCCAGGGCAATTCCTTCTGCTTTTATGTTAGACAGGCAAGTTTTTAAAGTATTTATTTCATGAATTGATAAATTTCTTTGTTGTTATTTCTATTTGGTCTATATTCACATAATAGTTAGCTTATCAAAATTTATTTCTTTAACTGTGCCACCAATTGCAATTATTTTACTTAGTCACTTTTCTAGCTGAATAGAGTTGCATTTTTTCTCTGTATAGTCTTGGCTTTCCTGAAATGCAGCCTCAAACTTAAAGACACCCATGTACCTCTGCCTCCCAAGTGCAAAGATTAAAGGTGTGTGCCACTAGAAACCTTCATCAGTATTATTTTTAAAAGGAATTTTACAACTACTGATTTTAGATTACTTGGAAATGACTAATATGCAACT